GACTCTGGAGAAAACCACACAGATTCTCCATTGCTGAAACCTCCAGGTTGTTAGAGCTCAGGTCCAGTTTCCTCAGATGGGAGGGATTGGACTTCAGAGCTGAGACCAGAGAAGAACAGCTGATGTTGTTTAATGTTTATTAAGAAAGTGTATTATTAGATCAACCTCTACTTTAAACTAGATTCTAGATTGCTTCATATCAGATTAAATCAATTCCAACAGCATTTATAACATCTTGAGCTGCTTTTCATTCTAAAGAATTTTAATAAAAGAATGTTATTCAACAGTTGTTGTTGTTTGTCCTTTCCTCCATAAGATTATTATTACCTCAGAAAGTTTCATTTGGAGCAGTAAAATATCATCAAGTTAAAATAAAACAGCACTTTCTGTCAGTGAACTCACCTCAGACTCTCCAGTCCACAGTGTGGACTCTTCAGTCCAGAACACAGACGATCCGCTACTGCATCCTGGAGCTGGATGTTGCTCAGGTCCAGTTCTATCAGATGTGAGGGACTGGACTTTAGAGCTGAGGCCACAACTTCAGCACCAGTCTCTGAGAGGTCACAATCTACAAGTCTGACATGGCAGAAAATATAAAAAAAATATATTATATGTAAAATAGAGGGAGGTGAAACGTTGTCTGAAGGATGCAAAGGAGGAAAGTGGAGCAGAAGCTACAACAGAACAATATGAGGGAGGTCCGGGAACCAGAGGAGAGGAGGCAGGAGTGCACGTCCGGGATGGTGTGAGAACCAGAGGAGAGGAGGCAGGAGTGCAGAAGGCAAACAGTTTGAACAACTTTTTCAGTTAGTTCAATCACTCCACAACCCCTACACCCACATCCTCGTTGCATTCTCCTCCGCTCCCTCCAAGAACCACTGCATCCCTGCCGGTAACCACACCAACACTCATCTCAACCTGCCTCCCTATATCCCCCCCCATCCAGGGAAAGCAGCAGGCCCAGACAAGGTGTGTCCACGGCTACTAAAGACCTGCGCTGCTGAACTCGCGGAGACGCTCCAATGGATTTACAACCTGAGTCTTTGACTAGGGAGAGTGTCATCTATCCGGAAGATGTCCTGCATCGTTCCATTTCCCAAAAAGAACAAGCCCAGCGAGCTGAACGACTTCAAACCCGTGGCACTCACATCGCACCTGATGAAGACTCTGGAGCGGCTCTTCCTCAACCTCCTCAAGCCTGAGGTGCAACATGCCCGGGACAACCTACAGTTTGTGGTGTAGAGCAGGGGTCACTAACAGACGGACCACGGTCCGGGTCCGGACACAGAAGCTGTCTCATACGGACCCGGACCTAGAGCCAAAACAGAGGGTTGCGATTTAAAAAGAAAAGAAAGGGAGAGACATGGATGAGCGAGCTGACGAAAGCTGAGGAAAAAGATGAGTGAGACTGAGAAAGGGGGAGAAAAATAAGGGAAAAATTACACTAAGTTAGACAAGATCTTCCGGACGTTAACTTCAAGTCAATCTCTCTAACTGGACCTCTTTAAATTTCAGTTGAAAACTCCTGGTGTAGAGGATGCCATCCTCTACCTCCTATATCGAGCCCACTAACATCTAGACAGGAGGAGCGGCGCTGTGAGAATCCATTTTTCTAGCACCTTCAACACCATCCAGCCACCATGATTCCCAACTGACCTGAACGCAAGTGGACCCCTGTCTTGTTTTCTGGATTTCCAGCTACCTCACAGACAGACCACAGTACGTCAGGCTGAATGACATCACATCTGACACTGTGGTCAGCAATATCGGAGCAACATCGGAGCACCCCAGAGGACGGTGCTGTCCCCTCGCCTCTTCACCCTATACACCTCTAGCTTCTGGTACAACTCTGAGCCGTCATATCCAGAAGTTGACAGCCATTGTGGGGTGTATTAGAGACAATAATGAGAGTACACGTGCCTCATGAGCAACTTTATTGTCTGGTGTGAATCAGTCAACAAACCTCAAAACTAACCCTAACCTTCAACCTGCAGAAAAAACGACGTGGGTAAAGGAGTATATGCAATAACCCAACAATTTTCAGTGCAATAACTATAACAATCACAATAATGTTTTTCATAATAAATCTATTTTACATAATATAGAGTCATACATAATATTCTATACTATATGTATATGCTGGTGTTTATGTCTATATTAATTAATTAATTAATAATTAACACATACAAACAGATGAGAAGACACGTGGCCATGTGATAAACATCTGCGATGGTTCAGTTCAACATCACAACAACACACCTATGATTCTGGGTGAATTAGTGTGTGGAACATACCAGGCTCAAACCCTGAATCTGTAAAACAGGAAACAGTCTGTTCAGCTGACTCTGCATTGTTTATCTTCATTTATAATATTAAATAGTTTTAGATGTTGATTTATTTTATTCCTATCATCAGTCACAGTACTTGGTATTGGCTTGGTATTTAACTCCACAATAATATGAATCCAACATAACCGGAGATATGTTAATAGAAACAGTCTTGACCGTGATGTCACTGTGGAAAAGTAAAAAACATGAAGTGAACCTTGGACTAGTCTGGACTGTAGAGAATGTAGAAACAGAGGTTTATCTGCTATATAGTTAGAATGACTCAATTGAAGACTCACAGCAGTCTTTTTACAAACAGCTTCATGTTGCATTGTACTTGTTCTGTTATTCTGCGCATGTTCAAAGACTAAAGGTGAACTGCTGGAAACCAACAGGAAAATCTCTGACTGTGTTGGATCATTAGTTCTGTCACTGATTCATCAAGACAGACCTGCATCAACATACTGTAGCTACCTGCTGAAATTCACTGCACTTCTCCTTTTGTCACCCAAGACCATTAAACTGAACGAACACTGACTGACTAATCAATAATGATTGATCACTAACTCACCGAGCCTTCCTGCAGTTGCTCACAGCTGGGATCAGTCTCAGTTTTCCCTCCTTCGATGTGTTATACTTCTCCAGGTCCAACTCATCCAGAACCTTCTCTGACATCTGCAGCATGTAGGCCAGAGCTGAGAACTGGATCTCAGAAAGTTCCTTCTCTCTGGTCTTTGACTTCAGGAACTCTTGGATCTCCTCATGAACTGACTGATCCTTCAACTCTGTCAGACAGTGGAAGATGTTGATGCTTCTGTCTGGAGAGATGTTGGTTTTCAATGACCTTTGAAATGATTTCTGGACTGTAGTGACTCGGACCCAGCAGGTCTCCCAAGATTCTCTGGTTGGACTCCATACACAGACCATTAAGGAAGCGAACAAACAGGTCCAGCTGACCATTTTTACTTTGGAGGGATTTCTCCATTGACCTTCTGAGGAAGTCAGTCACAGTGGAGTCATATTTTAAGAACATATTATGTAAAGTTTCTATTATGGATTTGCTGGGTTTGTATTCTTCTCCCAGGAAGTCCTGCAGTACCTCTGTCCTCCTGTTGGTGTAGCAGTGGAACA